TCCTTGAATACATTTATAGTTGGTATTTTGAAGTCACTGTCTACTGCTTCAGCTAAATTGCTTTCCTCAGGATCTATTACAACAGGTCTCTGGCTTCTGTATTAATTGTATTAATTGCTCATGTTTGTGTTTTTGTGCTGGGATCTAGGCATGTGGAGTTAAGTTGGAAGTGTTTCTTGCTGCAGGTATCTAATCTTGTCTTTGTTAGGTGGGTGTTCTGTTCTTTAGTTGCTACTGTCCACCTTGGGTCCTAGTCTACTGTTTACCCTGGGTCCTATTCTACTGTCTGCCCTAGGTCCCAGTCTACTGTCCACCCTGGGTCCTAGTCAAGTGTGGTGGCTGTGGAGTCCCTGTTAGAAAGCTGTTCTGTATGTCACTTGGGAGTCATAAAAGAATGGAGATGCGCTAAAGGAAAGGCTGAAATGGACGGCAGAGAAGAACCAGGGAGAGTCAACAGGCTAGGTTATAAGGGGAAGGAGGTGAACTAGGAGGAGGGACCCAGGTGGGCAGGCTGCAGCAGGGACAAGGGTAAGTCTGGGGAGACTAGAATGGAGAACAGGAAGGAGGACAAAGGTCACCCACCTTGGTCCCAGCCAATGTGGGTCCCTGGCAGAATTTGATTCTGCTAGTCAGTGGGTGTCACATAGGAATGGAGAAGGGCTGGAAGAAAAAACTGAAAAGGGCAGCAAGGAAAAACTATGGGGACCCTGGGCCCACACCAAAAGGCTGAGTCCCAAGTGGATGGAGATTGATCAGCATAACCTCAGGGCAGATTACCTGTCAAATTTGTACAGCTGGTATTTTTATGCAATTAGTTTTATATTCTGAATGGTGACATTGGCATCCCCAAGTAAAATGTGATTCAAAAACACCACTAAATTGTGTGTGTGTGTGTGTGTGTGTGTGTGCACCAGTGTGGGTGCATATCCACATAGGTGTGGAGGGCGAAGAGCAATGCCAAGTGTCTTCCTCCATCATTCTCTACCTTGTTTTCTGAGATAGGGCCTCTCACTGAACATGGAGTTCCCTTATTTGGATAGACTGGCTGTCCAACAAACTCCAGGAGCCGCCCTACCTCTATATCCCCAGCACTGACATTACAGGTTTACACTGTCACACACTTAACTTTTGATGTGCTTGAGTGCTGGGGACTGACTTCAGGTCCTCATGCTTGTGTGGCATTTTACAGATGGAGCCATCAATCAATCCCTAAATCATCTTTATCATGTAACGCCCACGTTTGCTCTAGTTTTCAGATAGCCTTCTCCTTTCCTTGTTCCCCAGCCTGAGTGAGTGGTACTGTATGGTCCAGGGATTCAAGTACTACTTGGTAGAAAGTCCTCCTCTTTACGATCTTCTCACAGGAATACGGACTGCTGAGGGATATTCTGATCTGATGCCTCCAGAAGTTGTGAAGTCTAAATAAACAGTTGCAAATGTAACTGGTTTCTTGAATGATATAGACGTGTTTATGCTTGGTCTTTCTCTACATTTTATTATTTTTTATTATTTTCAGGACAGAGTTTCTCTGTAGAACTGGCTGTTTGGAACTCATTCTGTAGACCAGGCTGGCCTCAAACACAGAGATCCACTTGCTTCTTCCTCCTGAGTGCTGAGATTGAAGGCATGCAACACCATGCTCAGCACTTTCTTTACATTTATAAGTATACTCATAATAATTTAAAAGTATTATACGTAAGCTTCTGACTCTCTCTCTCTATATAAAACATCGTTATTGACAGGTCATTAGAACTGTCAAATTCAGTTCATAGGAAATAATTAAAATTTCCAAGATTCATATTCGAATACAAACATGAAGTTATGTTGAATATAAGGTATAAAAAGGACAAATAGTGAAACACAAAAGGCCAGAGTCCCACCAGGAACTAACTTGAAGCAAATCCCTCCGAGTGAGTTAAGCTGCAGATTCTAGTCTCTGGATGGATCCTGCTTAATGATATTCAGAAGGGAAAAAGGCAGTTTCTGCAACATCTCAAGGGATGTGAGAATGAAAGTATCAGAAACAAAAGTATAAGAGGGGCCAGAGAACAGTGCTGCCCCATCGACGCCTGTAAACCCAGGCTGGTAAGTATTTTAGTAATTCGTTTTGATGGACGTGTAGTTACTTCATTAAAAGTATGTATTTTAAAAATATATAATAAATACAGTTTAAGTGAATAAAGAATAGAAGTGTTTGAGAGCACACAGGAGCACGTGGGTGGTTGGATTGCTTTATGTGTGTCGGGTCCTTTATAGGCATTGTCATACTACTAATTATATAATGTAGTTTTTTGAGAACACACATTTGCTAAGTGGGGATGGGAGAAATAAGACTCAACTTTTAGAAATAAGACTCAACTTTTTAGAAAAGCTAACATTGGTCTTATTTCATTAGTAAGATTTTAGCCTCCAGTTGAATTGCTCAGTCTAAGCTTTGGGGATATTGAAAAAGTCTTAACTGACAAAATTAGAGATATACATTAGCATCCTAAGGGCAGGAATACTTTAGCATGCCATTTCTCATCTCTTCTATTCTCACTCTACTGCTCCCAATATCCTGTAACCTTAAACATCGAGTAGATTGTCCAAGGTGATTCCCTCTCCAAAGGGCTGACTGTGCCCCTTTCGGGAATGTAGTAACTTGGAAGAAAGCCAGGCATGCCCAAGGTCTCTGGTGAATAAGGAGTACTTGTTTCCTTTGCCTTCCTACATGCCTTCCTTTGGCTGCCTACATGTTTGTCTACTTGGTCAGGATAGGTAGTGTCCTCTGATGGCTATATTATCTTTCTTGACCTAGGTCAGAGGCATGGATGTGCAGTAGGTCTCCTTAGTCATCGATTATGACCTTCCCACCAACAGGGAAAACAACACCCACAGAATCCATCTAGGTGATTGGTTTGGCCATAAGGGTGGCTATTAACTCGGTGACAGGACCAGAGAACTCTTCCAGACATTGAGACTTTCTACAACATCTCCATGTTGCTGACCTCATTTGAGGGGCTGTCCTGCTACACGGTCCTAGCACAGGGTTAAGTCCTGGGGCACTGAGGAACGGTTGGAGCGGGGAGGGAAGAGAGGGGAGGGAGGGAAGGGAGGGAAGGGAGTGAAAGGAGTGGCATCTTGTTTTTTTGAGGCAAAAAGAAAAAAAATCAAGTAGATTGAGAGGACCACTGAGCTCCTGGGCATTTGCAGTGGGAAATACTCTCTCACCCTGCTTATCAATCTGGCCTAAGAGAGTAGAATGGATTCATCCCCCATGAAGGACAAATTCATTACAACTTTTCTACTCCATCTGATTTCTTATGGTTTTATCCTTCTTTCTGCCTTCTTGACATGGGTGATCTAGCACAGGGCCAAACAGCAAATATTACAAAAGTTAGGAGATGATCTGCAATGATCCAAATATGCCCTTCCAAAATTCAAGTGTTGAAACTTTATCATCAGGATGATGGTATTAAGGGGGACCTTTCAGAGGTGATGAGATCAAGCCCATAGACTCCTCATGACGAGGATCAGTGTGTTCAGAAGCATCTGAAGAGGCTTCAGCTCTTCCCTCAACCGGTGAGGATGAGGTACCTTCTGTTAAAAAGGAAGTAGCCCCTGACCAGACCCAAACATGCTGGTGTCTTGATCTCTAGTTCAAAGTTTCAAGCCTGAGTTTGAATTTTCTCTTGGGTCAGTCATGAGGTACAGCTCTGTTGTCCACAAGCTACTCATGTTTATGAAACTGGTCACAGCAGACACAATCTCTGAGTACCTACTCAGTTTTGATGTTGTACACAAAAGCAGCCAGGCGACATGTAAACACTCAGTGCAGTTGAATTCCAATACGATTTATAGAAATAAGTGATGGCCAGACTTGGTCAAGAACTCCAAGCCTAGTTTGCCAAATCCTGCTCTTGAGGATGCTATACTGACTAAGGTACGAGTTGATCAACTGTTCTTGGCTCAGCCATTCTCCTAGGCTGACTTCAAACTCTGTACTGGCTAGCTTTGTCAATTTGACTCAAGCTAGAGTTATCTGAAAGGAGGGAACAAACTCAATTGAGAAAATGCTTCCATAAGATCCAGCTGTATGGCATTTTTCTGAATTAGTGATTGATAGGGAAGGGTCCAACTCATTGTGGGTGGGGCCATCACTGGGTAGGTGGTCCTGGTGTCTATAAGAAAGCAGGCTGAGCAAGGCATGGCAGACAAGCCAGTAAGCAGCATCCCTCCATATCCCCTGCATCAACTCCTGCCTCCAGGTTCCTACTCTTGTCCTGATTTCCTTCAGTGACAGACTATGATGTGGCAGTATAAGCTAAATAAACCCCTTTCTCCCCTATTTGCTTTTGGTCACGGTGTTTTACCACAGCAATAGAAATTCTAACTAAGACAGACCCTAGGCCTTTCCACCTGACTTAACCTCCTTAAGTGAGTTTCTGTTCATTCCAACATGTCCTTATGAAGAGCCCCTTTATCCTCATTTCCTATGACTTCCATCACTCCATTCACCCATCGGGCAGTGCTTTGCACTACCACTCTTCTTTAAGCTAGCTCCCTGGCTCGATTTATTCATAGAATGCAGTCTACTCAAATGAACAATAGAGGGAAGGTGTGGTGGTCTGAATAAAAATGGAGCCCATGGACTTATAGGGAACAGCATTATTAGGAAGTATAGGCTTGTTGGAATAGGTGTGACCTGGTTGGGAGGAACTGTATTATGAGGGAGCGGGCTTTGAAATTTCAGAAGCTCAAGCCATGTCTAATGGCTGGCTCACTCTTCCTGCTGCCTGTGTACCAGAGATGTAGAACTCTCAGCTCCTCCAGCACCATGTCTGCCTGCATGCCACTATGCTTCCCACCATGAAAATGGACCAAACCTCTGAACTGTAAGCCAGACCCAATGAAATGTTTTCCTGTGTAAGAGTTTCCATGGTCATGGTGTCTCTTCACAGCAACAGAGAGCAAGAACAAACTAGAATGGTATAGGAAGGCAAAAAACTAAAAACTTGCGATTACTTTTTCCTAAAATTTTATTCTCAGATAACCTATAATACAGAATAGAATAATAAAAAGCTGTCACAGTGTATTGTTTTACTCAACAGTTACTTGAGCTTTCGTTTTTGTGTTTCTCATCCTCTTGATTGCTTTTGGTCACATCAGTCACTTACAGTAATAGAACACCATGATTTCACGGCATGTTTACTTAAGAGAACAGGGATAAAGACCAATGAATGTATGGAAGATAAGAATAATAAAATAATGTGAGGAAACATGAAAGCCAGATAAGTGGGAGAAAAAGATGTTTATCCTTGGGTAAGTCAGGGCTGTTCTGTGAGCTTTTTTTTAAATACTAAAGAGTATGCCAGGGTGCCACACAGTTGCTTCAGAGTTCTTTTGAATCAAATAACACATTGGTCCCTATCGATTTGGCTCAAGCCAAGTTTTGATATGTTCAAACTGCAACACACCCAGAGAACTTTCTAAAAGTCACAAAGCACAGTTTACCAAAGGCTGAATAAGGTATCGGAATGAACTCTCCTTGGTGATCTGATTATAAAAAGCCATGGGCTCCATGAAAGGGACCTTGGCACACAAAAGGCAATGAAAGACCCTGATCTATTAGGTACTGTAGGGTAGCTCCAAGGGAACTAGAGAATTTTCAAAACAAAAGGATAGCAGTACCACTTATGTGAATCAATGACCAATACAGTTCATGTAAACCCAACCTAGAACTTTTATAAATACATTTAGTTATGGTCATCAAATTAGATAGCACTCTTGGTGGGGGATGGAATCTTAAGCAGTTTTCATCTCTCAACTGTCATTTAGTTTTTAATACAGAAATTACTCTTGAAGGAAATGATATCTTGGGTCTGTCTGTCTTTGAGTTGAGAGTAACAACTCTGTCTTCCTGAGGATAAGGACGTACAACTCAAGCCTAATCTACAAAGATTCCTTACTACACAACAACTCTGTCTTCCTGAGGATAAGGATGTACAACTCAAGCCTAATCTACAAAGTAGATTCCTCACTACAAAAGATTTCCTTACCAAACGAAAGGCTTCAGCAGGCCCTGCTATGACTAAACATGGTGAAACCAGATTTCACAACGTTCACAGTATTACTGTCTCCTAAACATTTCTTGAATTTAAAATTGGCCATTTGGAAAACAGAGAAGAAAAATTTTGAGAACTATAGCCAGAGGTTTTCACTATTATCAAGCCACTGGGTCTAAGGGATTTCCCATCTGTTCAAAGTTAAACACTGGACAAGTGAAACCAAACACACAGAGACACTCCCCAGGGTCACGTTGTGGTCCTCCTATTTCTACAATCAAATAGTAAACACAGCAACAAAGCCAACCTTCACATAACACTCAGTACACTTTCAGGATTGCTCTTCAGTGTGAGTTCTTTGATGTCGGATGAGGGATGAGTTGCACTTGAACCTTTTCCCACACTCATCACACCTAAAAGGCTTCTCTCTCGTGTGAGTCCTCTGGTGTTGAATCAGAGCTGAAGAATGAACGAAGGCTTTCCCACAGTCTCCACATTTATAGGGTTTCTTTCCAATGTGAATTCTTTGATGCTTTGCAAAATTTGAGCTCCGGCTAAATGTCTTCCCACATTCCTTACATACGTAGGGCCTCTCTCCAGTGTGAATTCTCTGGTGCTGAACAAGGTGTGTGCTCTGACTAAAAGTCTTCCCACACTCGCTACACTCATATGGTTTCTCCCCCGTGTGAACTCTCTGGTGCTTTGTAAGCGATGAGCAGTGGCTAAAGGCTTTCCCACACGTTTGGCATTTATAGGGCTTCTCTCCAGTATGGGTTCTTTGATGCTTAATGAGGGCTGATGAATGAATGAAGGCTTTGTCGCATTCGTTACATTCGTAAGGCTTCACTCCAGAATGAATCAGCTGATGCTGGGCAAGGTGTGTACTCCGGTTAAAGGCTTTCCCACACTCAGAGCATTCATAAGGTCTTTCTCCAATGTGAACTCTCTGGTGTACTTCGAGGGATGCACTTTCTATGAAGGTTTTCTTGCACTCACCACACTCGAAGAGAACTCTCGTGTGGGTTCTCTGGTGTTTAGTCAGATTGGCCCCGTGGCTAAAGGACTTCCCACACTCACTGCAAGTGTAGGGCTTCTCTCCAGTGTGCACTCTCCGGTGTCGAAGAAGCACTGAAAGGAATGTGAAGCGTTGGCCACAGTCATCACATTTATGAGGTTTTTTCTCTTTATAAGGTCTATGCCTTTTCATTGACTTTGATTTCTTCTTCTTCTTCTTCTTTCTCTTCCTACGAGTGTGAGAGTCCTGGGATCCTGTGGGATCTCCGTCACCAGTCATAAGGTGAGGTTCCTGACTGACGCTTTTCCAATATACGTCACGTTCACTATCTTTTTCCACAGGGAGGGAATTGGTGTGAGCGGACATTTGTCTTGGGTGAGTCTCCAGATTCCCTTGCTGATGCTCTAACCAACGCTCAGATTCAAGAGCAGTTTCCATGCCGGAGTTGGAAGCAGTATTTTGTGTCAGTTTGTCTGATTCTTCTTTGGAAGAGTCCGGCACTGAAGTTGACTCCTTGCTCTCAGGTCTGGTTTCCACATCTGAAAAGACATCGAAAATGCAAATGTTCTTTGTTTTCCGTGCTTAGCAGTAACACAGTCCTATAACAGGTAAAGATTAATGATGAGGAAAGCATGCCTTTATGGGATTAGTAGATCGGACACACTTATTGAATGGCTTGTAAAAACAGAAGGAAATCAAGGGAAATTAGTATGAAGATGAATAGGTTCTATCCAGGAGAATCGGATGGGGGAAAGATGATCAGAAATATAACAGAAGGAGAAAAAAGATGAAAAAAAAAGAGGTGTCACCAGAGGAGCAGGCAATGAGTACATTAGAGCTGGATAGGAAAACCACATTGTATAGAATATCTTCTGCTATAATAAACAGCTAGAAAATTGCATACACAGACATGTATAGCTAAGTATGTATAATTTACTAATACGTAGCATAACGGTATAGTACTATGCTATTATAAATAGTCTTCAGTATAGTAATTAAAATAGTATGGTACTAAAACATGGACAAATAAGTCTAGAAAGAAATTTAAATATCTATAAGGGAACTGGGCTCACCTAAAGGTAGCATCACAAACCAGTTGCAAAAGATTACTTAGTAAATGATGCTGAATTATAGGCTGTGAGCATGGAAAAGATACACTTCACATCATTTACAAAATAAATGATGTAAAACACACAACAAAACTGGATTCTTTTATAATAAAATTCAGATTATCTTTCTGACACCAGAAGGACAAAAAAAAATTCACAACAGATAAACTTAACTTAAATTAGTATGGGCTAGGGCTGGAGAGATGGTTCAATGGTTAAAGGCACTTGCTGCTATAGTGGAGGACCCAGATTCAATTCCCAGGATCCACAGGGAGGTTCAGAACACTGCAATTTCAGTACTAGGGGATCCAACATTCTCACCTGGCCCTCACTTATACATGCGAAGTAAAAATAAATGTTTTTAAAAATTATTTTAATTGTGTGTGTGTCTGTGTGTCTGTGTGTCTGTGTCTACATATGGGTATGTATGTGTGAGTCAGATGCCCACAGTGGCCAGAGGCCTTGGATCCCCTGGAGATGGAGTCATAGGCAGTTGTAAGCTGCCTCGACATGGGTGCTGAGAATCAAACTCAGATCCTCAACAAGAACAGTATGTATCCTTAACTTCTGAGCCGTCTCGCCAGCCCCTAAGATGAAATCTTAAACAAATTTAGTTTAGCGTGAGGGATGCAACTTGAGGGTGGAGGGCTTGCTGCCCTGTACAAGGCTCTGGGTTGCAACCCTAGGAATGAAAAATAAAAAAATCAGTAGCTCTGACCTTGAAATTTGAAAGTTTACTAACTTTGGGGCTATTAAATATACCCCAAACTGGAAGACTCCGTTCCTCCTCATTTTGAAGCCCCACCACTATCAACCATTAGAGTCTAAAATACACGAACAGCTCCAACAAATCAAGAAACCCTGAATAGGCAATAATCACAAATGCTCACACAGTTCAGACTTAGCACTCGAAATACAAATGAAGAACATGAAATGTCATTTTTTACAAGATGGACAAGAGCCACTGAGTCAACTGGTGGCCCATAAACCAGTATGTGACACTTTAAGGCCCATAGATCTTTCTTCCAGGCATCTACTTTAAGTTCAGCTCTCACGAGGAACACAGGAATCAAAGATGATCATGCAGCTCTGCTAACGGCCGGAAGGTGAGAACAAACTGCCCAGGTTATCCCCACAATGCACTTCCTCAACACCGCTGTATTGTTTGAAAGAAAAAAAATGTACAATTCGTTACCTATTAATATAGATTGATAACAAAATGAAATGGTGGAGCTTAAAAATGATTACAGAAAAAACATAGTAATAAAGTATACATTCTTATGTATATATGCGTGTGCATGCTTATACCTGTACATGCAAATACAAGAATGACTCACACCAACTTCAAGACAAGTGGTTACTTTTAGAGAATGGGAGAATGAGGCCTGTGTCTGAATCTCTAAAACTTTAATTTCTTAAACAGTAAAAGACATCACATATCCATAGGAATGGCTAAAATGCACACAGATAATACTAACTATTAATAAACATATGGAAAAACTAGAAGTTGGGACTTCTCTCATTGGAAGGGTGTTTGGAAAGATTTTATAAATCTCTTTGGCAATGTCAACATTTTACACACACACACACACACACATACACACACACACACACAAACACACACACGTTCATCAAGAGGCATGTGGAAGACTGCATACAGAAGCAGTGCTCATACAACCCATAGTGCACACTCTCTAAATGCCTGTCTGCAGGAGAATGGGGAACCTGGGATACTGAAATGACGGAAGGCTATGGAGCACGGAGAGTGAGCTAATCTCAGCAACACGCCGCAGCATGGGTCTATCTCACCGGGAAAGCTCAGGAAGGAAGCCAGACCCAGGGAACACATAGTGATTCCATTTAAATAAGGTCCACCAGACAACAGCACTAACCATCGGTGTTACCAGTCGAACCAAGGTCACCCTTGGGAGAGAAGTGATTGAACACTGGGCACAAGAGTGCCTCTCAGGAGATGAATGCTTTCTTGATCTAGGAAGTAGTTACGTGAATGTGTTCAACTTATAAAAATTCATAGAAACATAATGTTTTTATGCATTTTACTGTTGTAAAAAAGAGGAAAGAAAGGAGCAGAGAGTGAAAGAAAATACGCTTAATTTCAGCCATGGTTATTTTTTTTTGACATATGCTTAAAAGCATCAGATTTTCAAATATTTTGACAATCTCAGTGCACAGGCATTTCTAATGCTCTCTTAAGCTCTGAAAAGCACCACTTGTTCGCTCTTCTGGATGCGTCCGAAGCCCCATCGGCCTACCTACCTGAGTCACCGCACTTGGGAGGCTTCTCCTTAAGCTCCAACAGTTCCTTTCTATCTTCCGAATCATCGTTGTTAGGGTTGGAAACAGGAAGCCCTGTTTATTAAAAAGAAAAGGAAAGGAAGAGAGTAAAATGAACAATGCAAGTCTTTATGGTGGGCACAGAGATCTCTATTGGAATTTAGGTCCATGCCCTTCAGGTACTGAGAAGATAGGATGTTGTGAGGCCATCTGGGGTGAGGGAGGAAGGACCTCTCACTGGGACTTAAAATATCTGCAAGAGTCTGCAAGCCTGGTGCAAGGTTCAAGGGAGTTTGTAAAGACAAATTTGTCTGTTGTAAGGGAAGACAAGTCTTTCAGTTTCCTTATTGTCCAAGGGGTCAATTATAGAACTATAGTTATAGAACAATACTGCAGATCAATCTTTGATTCGGGAAAGAATATGAATAATATAGGTCTTCAGTGGCATCCCCAAACGGTGACTGCAAGTACCACTTTTGTCTTCCAATGTTTTTTCCCTTCTTCCTTTCCCAATTACTAGAATTTCTTTGGAGATTTATTACATGAGAGTTTGACAGTGGCCACCATAGTCAAATAAAGTGCACGTGCTCACAGACACACAGACACACACATACACAGACAGACAGGCACACACACACACAGACACACAGACACAGACACATACAGACACACACACAGACACACACACAGACACAGACACACAGACACACACGCACACACGCACACACGCACACACACACACACACACACACACACACACACACACACACAAAGTGATGTGCCTAGCTTCCAAAACGGGCCACAAGCACACCCTCTTTCTGCCCTATTCTGTTTCCCTGATAGATATATGCCTATTAGTTGAATTTTCAAAATGAAAGTGTCTCCTTTTTTTGTTCAGTTCTTTAACTGGAAGAATAACCTATGCCCAGAGCTGCTGATGGCCACTTTGGCCACATTGGAGGATGCTAAGTTAATAGTTAAGACAGGGCACAGACAAGTCCATTGACTATAAACAAACACACAAAGTTCCAATGTCACCTTTGCTTCCCTAAGTTCCTCCCCCTGAAGCTAGTGTACATTAGGTGATTATTTGAATCTTGACACACAGATACCTAAACACTTTACCAAGGATCTAGAACATAATGGGGTGGGGATACAGCTCAGTGGCAGTGTGTGTGCTTCATACATGCACGGCTCAGGGTCAATCCTCAGCATCCAGTGAAATACATTTTCTTCCTCTATGCCAAAAAGAAATACTTTAACACTACTGAATGAAAAGTGACAAGAGCCCCGGAGTGGATTTCAGAACTACAGGGAGAAACCGTTCTTACAAAGTGAGACCAGGTTCCTGTAGTTCTCCAGCATCACGTCCCTGTGTGCGGGATCCAGTTTCCCCCATTCCTCTGGTGTCAAGTCCATGGCCATATCCTTGAATGTCACGGCTTCCTAAGACACAAATATATATATATATTTTCATCATTTTTTAGTTGGTACCTGTGGTGGCTATTCTTGGTTGTCAACTTGACTATATCTGGAATTAACTATAAACCCAAGCAGCTGGGTACACCTGTGAAGGATTTTCTTTTTGTTTGTTGGATCATTTGAGGTAGGGAACCCCACCTTAAATCTGTATCTCTTCAGTAGACCCACCCTGAGTCTGGACCACATTTTCTCATGGTGGCTGATAGAAAAGACACAGGAAACAGAAGCTTCTGCTTTTTGCCTACTTACTCTCATTCTCGCTGGCAAGCTATATATCCTGCTGCCGAGGCATTCCTTCACTGGTATTAGAGCCTACTTCTTTGGGATCCTGACACATACTGAAGACTAGCTGTTCAGACCACAAGTCTAGCCTCATGGACTGAACAGCTACAGGATTCTTGGACTTTCTGTTAGGAGACAGCTGCAGCCAGACTAGCTGGACCACAGTCTCTCAGCCATTCTGATAAATCTCCTAAATGCATATACATTCTATCAGATCTGTTCTTCTAGGGAACCTTGACTAATACGATGCCTCTTCCTTTCATTCTGTTCCTAATGGAAATAAAGCAGAAGGCCAAGATGCACTCAACAAGCGAAGTGGTGCGTTTTCTAATAGTGTTTAGATCCCCAGCAGTCTACGCACTTTCACCGAGTACCAGGCACAGTGTGAGACTCAACGTAAAGTAAGACTATGTTTGCACCACTGAGAAACTACCATTTTTATGTCAAAGCAATTTTAAGATCTATGTAGTGAGAAACAAAGAGAATGTCTGCATACTTCCCCTATAAGTCTTTAATAAACAAACAAACAAAAACAAACACCATGACACAGTCTTCAGGAGGATTACAGCACAGGGGTTGCAGACAGAGAGGTCACAGAACAAGAAAGAACTAGCAGTGAGCAACAAATCTGGTGAAATGTGGAATTAATTCAAGGTAAATGGCCATTAAATTAGAAACTGTGATATGCTGATTAAGGTTACAGATGTAATTGAAAAGTGCTTACTAGGAAAATGTCATAAGGGTATATCTCTGTAACGACAACCATGTCAAGAACACCACCTCCGCCATCACTGCCACCACCACCACCACCAATGCCAAAAGGGGGAGGTTGGCTACACACTAGAACTGAACTTGCTCCTTTAAGTAAAGCTATAAGGAATGGGAACACTATTCTAGGTTTGCTGAAACAATGTAACAAATGCTTCTTACTTGGACATAAAGCACCTTCTATTCAAACATCCATGGAACATTTGCAAAAAAATATCAAAGTAGATTTTAGTAAAGTTCCAAATAGGAATAGAATAAAACCATAGCTGACGATAATTGCAAAACTATAGTGGAACATAAAAACAGAAAAAGAAACAAAATGCCAAGCCCAGTCTTAAATGGCTAAACACTTGGGAGATGCGTAGCACTCTTGAAATTTCTTAGATTTGAAACCCTTTTTATCGTATTTTAAAAACACATAAATACAAGAAGAGAGGACACAAATCGGATCATAGAATCAGAACAAACTCAGAAACAGAATTACAGGACAAAGGCAGAAACTTTATCTGGATTCAGTACTATGATCACAACAGACAGCTATCCTCTGTAGAAAAAGATACGGGGAGGAAACTTATACCTATACATATCCATCTTCTGTGCTGCTTATCAAATCAGTAAGAACTAAAATTAATATACATATTTTCTAAACCTAATAAGGAAAAGATGAACAAACCCCAACCAACTCAGATGGATTTGAACACAAAATTTCCAGTATTAGCATTAAATAAAATCTAATAAAAATTTAAAAAGACAGACTTTAAAAATATTCATAAAAGATCCAATCCACCACAATGACCTAAGAGTCTTCAATCTAGTATCCAGGCATGGAAATGCACCAACTACTCTCTCTTCTTTTGGTATCTGTACCCCAATTTTTCTGTCCCTCTATGCTGGGCAACTCAAACCCTGGGGAACCAGATAGAACTGACTCCATCTTGGAGTCACAGGTCAATGTGTCTACACATATGTGCACAGTTATACTCCGCAATTACTCCTAGCCAACACCAATAATGGTGCAGAAAATGGCCTTTTATATGCTGCTAGAATTAATCTCAGCAGTAGGAGAACCCCTAACCTTCAACCTTAATGATGTAAGCCTACATTTCTTTGATGATGGCATGAAAAAAGAAAGAAAGAAAGAAAAAAGGAAAGAAGGAAGGAAAGAGAGAAAGAAAGAAAGAAAGAAAGAAAGAAAGAAAGAAAGGAAGAAGGAAAGAAAAAAGTCTGCTTAAGGGCAAAACTCAGAGTTTTAGAAAAAGGTTGACAATTTTGACATGCTAGTTCTTCATGTTACTATCTAAACCCTTTATCCAGCCAAACCTGGACTTTCAATTAGTTTGGTCAATAAAGACACCTTTTGTGCACAACCCAGCATACAATGGGTATCTCCAGATAGCATGTAAGCCTCTTGGGTTAATAAAGTCTGCAAGACTCACAACACAGTTGAGAAAGTCTAAAAAGGGGCAGAAGTCATTTTTACAAACATTATATCTAGGAGAGGCTGACTGAGGGATCACTGGGCTGCAGAACACAGTATGAACACTGTCATTAGTACAACCACTGACCGTTCCATAGCCAAGATTTAACTGAGTAGGTATCATCATCATCATCTCTTCAGAATTTAAGGTGTTTTCTTAAGTTCCTATTGACAGCCACATGTGTGCTTCTTCCCTTAGAGAAGTGCAAGTTTTAAGAAGTATATACTATATTACCCTTAAACTAGCTTTCCATATGACCAAATACAGAAATTAGCAGAGTGGGGGGAAAGAAGAGAAACGTGGCTTACCTGCCTGTAGAGAGACAAGAAATACAAATGGAGAAGAGAGGTACTATGGGTAAGTAGAAAATATTTCCTACCGAGTCCATTAGTTTCTTAGAATTAGAACTCAGGTCTCTAGATGGGCTCTGTGGACAAAGAAATGCCACATCAAAAAGGGAGTGTGTCTGTGCTCTGAGACACAAGGTGGGATTTGATCTCACTAACCCATAGAGACTCACCTGGGAGCTGGTTGTGAGTCTCAGAGCAGCCACATCTCCTTCTGCACTCTTCTCTTGGGAAAGGAGAGAATCCTGGGAAGACAGAGCTAAGGGCAAGAAAGCGGTAGTGACTGGGTATGGACCCGTCCCTCTACTCAGATTATATTCAAAACCCTTCATCACACCAAATGTGCTCCCTGTTAACAGGGAATCCAAAACAAACTGCTACTTTCCAGTACCGTAAAATATGCTCAGGCACGTTGCTGCTCTGAGCTTGACTTCAGTTGCTTTACTTATGACGTATCCCCTCAAACAGAAACTAGAATAAGTCCACAAACTAGAATAAGTAAGTTCCCATTATAATCTACCCGAAGTAGACTCAGTGGTTAAAAACAATCATTTTGAAGCTTCCTTAAGATGGAGATGGCTAGATCTCACCTCCAAATTCTGACTGGTTGAGTTTGAGGTAACATCTAGCAACCTGAAAAGTAACCCTGGAGGGAATTTTGGCACAGTAGGTCACAGAAGGAAGTTCAAGATACACTGGTCTCCTAGAACTGAAGTCAGCCCCTAACTTCTGCCCCTGTGAAGCAGGTTGTGAGCAATCTGTATTGAAACAGCCCACACAGTAACTGTTGATAAAGAGGGACAAGGCATGGAAAAAAATATATGTATATATTTTTGTTAACTACAAAGCTGAATTCTTGGATCCACAATGGAAACCAGGATGGGACAGTAATTTGGAAGAACTTGTGACTACACTGTGACAATGGTGACCCACTGGTGGGTCCATTGTGCAGCACACTTATGTGGACTGGGGAGTGACCCATAGTAAGCCCTGCAACTTCCCAGAGCCAACCTATTGTCAAGACAGCATTGACAAGAGGCCATCTTTTCCCAAGAACCATTTAACCCACGACAATGGTGGCTTTCCCCTTCAAAAAGATTTCCACTCTTCCACGATGCACACCAACCCACGAGCAATTCTACCTCTTTTCTGGGGCGCTTCGGCCAAATCCGTCTCCATGATCACCGCCCCCCAAGATTCAACTCTTGTCTGGTTCGCGCAGTCAGCATCCACGGAGCGTCGAAGGACTTCTTCCCTCTTGGGCTCTGAGGAGAGTCGCTCAGATCACGTGGGACCTGGAAACCAGGGAAAGCATCCTTTATCTGGGTCCTCACCTGTCCGTTGCTGGCGCCTGGAGCTGTCCTCTGGGGGACTGAGTGCCTGAGCGGTAGAAGGCACAGACAACCTCTCCAGATCCGTCCAGCTCCCCAGTCTGCACCGGGGTCCCGGATGGCTCGTGGGGCGGGGAGGGAAGGGGACGAAGCTCAAGAACTACGAACTCCAGTCCCACCTGGTGGAGAACGACCACCGCCGAGGTAAACGGAGGACCTCAGCATCTCACAAAGCAACTCACCTCCCATCCCAGGCCTGACAAAGGGCTAGGAACTTCTCGGGTTAGCTCTGAGTCGCGCATGCGTGACAGTCTGCGGGACAAAGCTGACTACAACTCCCAGAAGCACCTGTGCGCTGCCAGACCCCCGTTTCTTGGCAGGTTGGGACCATGAGTGGCTCAGCGACACAGCGGGATCCCTCTCTCTCGCGAGAGAAAAGGGTGCATCGTGCGTGGTATCCCGCAGTACCGGAAGGCTGGGACGTGGGAGAGGCAGTGTCTTTCTTTGCACCTTTGTCTGCACAATTGCTCCTCTGTAGCATCAGCCCAAATTTCTTTATTGTAGGCATGTGTTTATGGCTTTTAGCCATGGTTTTGCCCTCCCCAAACTCATCTTTTGTCTTCAAATTATATGAAAGCTGTATATTTAGATCAGGATCTAGGTAGTATTCATCTATTCCAATAGTTTTATATTCAATCTATCTTGCAATCATAAAAATCGTATGAGCAGAGCTGAAAATATTGAGCCAGTTTCCAAACACTTGAGCAGTAAGTTCTTTGCAAGGAAAAAAATGTTCATATGTTAACAGCCCACCTCTTTAAACTCACTGTCTGAGCAGCCCCACCTCAGTGTGTTCATTTGCTCCAATGCACCATTTGCATAGGCCAGAACCAGAATACACTTAACTTTTGATTCTCACCATCTAATTCTATCGTTATATTCAACTCTCCAATTTGTTCATTTCTCTCTGTTTCTACTATGCTCTGTACCCTCTTCTGCACGTCTGCCTTTGTTCCTATACTCCCTTCCTGCTTCACCACTTCTCCCTCTGTGACCATCATGATCCCTCCTTATGAAGACATCCCATTTCCTCCACTTCTGTCATCCCCACCGGCTTCCTACTTGAGGTCTCATTGTGCTCCAGACTCATTAGATCCAGTCTCTGTCTTTCCTTTGGGAGAGAGAGACTCAGAGGGAGGCAATGGCCCTTGGTAATCTATGTCACTTTTTTCACTTCAGATCTGTATAGCTGCAAAAATCCCCAACTCCCTTTTTCTGAAAAAACCCCAAACTCTGATTTTTCTCCTAGAATCTGTCCATTGTTTCTTTGGCCTCACTTGGGATGATTTTCAACAATTCCTTACAACTCCGTTTACTTCAGTGGAATGTGAGCAAGGAATGTATTGGGGCCGAGGCAAAGAAAGCTGTTTGCGTTTAGCTGCTGGTACAGATGGAAGCTCAGAGGCTGCACAAGAAGTCTTCTCTCGTCCAAATGCCCTGATTGGGACCCTGATAAATCCAGTAGCTCTCAAGACTTGGGCCCTTTTCACAGCTACCTATGTCTGGGATTTGGGGTTCAGTTTGAAAACCCGCCAATTTGTCTAAGACCACTGAGATTATCGGGGACTGGAGGAATCTCCTGGGGTGTTCCTCAAGTGATTACAGGAAGGTTTCCAAATTTACACGCCTTTTGACCACTCCTCCCAGAGAATATTAAATTTGGTCTTTTCTTAGTTAGTGATTGATGGGGGAGGGCCCAGCCCATTGTGGGTGATTCCATCCCTGGGCTGGTGGTCTTGGGTTCTACAAGGAAGCAGGCTGAGCAAGCCAATAAGCATCATCCCTCCATGGCCTCTGCATAAACTCCTGCCTCTAGGTTCCTGCCTTGTTGGAGTTCCAGTCCTGATTTCCTTTGATGATGAGCAATGATATGGAAGTATAAGCAAAACAAACAAACAAACAAACAAACAAACTCTTTTCTAACTTGCTTTTTGGTCGTCATGTTTCATCACAGCAATAGAAACTCTAAGACTGTGTCATATGTGATTTATATAATAAAGATTCACTCTTGTTTATAAGCCTATTCCTCTGTTCATCTTAGCATTTTTGCAGTCTCTTGAATGTTTACTCTCTTTAAGTCTTGTATACATGTATGTGTGTGTATGAGCTTGTGTGAGCATATGTGTGCATATATGTGCATGTGTGCACACATGTGCATACATGTGCATATATGTGCATGTGTGTGTGTGCACGTGCATGAGTGTGAGTGTTCGAATGTGTGTTAGGAAGCTATAGGAAATTCTGGAAAAATGTACAACATTCAAGGTAATAGGGAAAATAATATAATCGACTTGGGTGGCAACCTTAGGTGAGTTTTTGGGAGACTATGACAGCAGGAGAGAAGAGGCAATTTCTATAGCATGGCCTCAGTTGTGGTAAAGTTAACATAAGGGAGGAGGGGCTGGATATTAAAATCCAGGGAAATCTGCAGTGGTTCACAGGGTACAATCACCGTGCCTATGTCCCATCTGTTCGTTCACGGCTGGGATCTCCCCAGAACCTTATAGGTTCATCATGTTGAAACTATCTGATTCATACCTATGTTCTCCAATAGCCTATAGATTTCAAAAGAGTCAATGTATATATTTTGTCATTTTATCTTAACATATAACAGTGCCTGTCATAAAGGATCTTTGACTGCCTTATTTTTGTGACTAATCATATTGAAAGCACAGTCATCTCCTCTCCATGCCAGTGGTTTCTTTCTGGCACAGGGAACATTTTTACTTCTTTCTCCACAGACCGGGAGACTAGAGAGTCAAAACTAAAGAAGATACTGTCTTACCAAAGAAGGTATCGTCTTGTCTGGAAAAAAGTCCTATGAAAGTTGATGCAGGGGCCCCCCAGTGTCACAGAGGCTGGGGACATGATGGCCATTCAAAAACCAAGCAAGGAACCTAAGAGACTCAGGAAATACTTGTTTGTAAGAAAGACCTTCTGTAGCAGACAGTAAGCCACACATCCCAGATCTGGCAGACATGTTGGTGTGAAGTCTAACTCTGTCCTACAAGCAAGGTGTATTAAAGAAGATAAAGATAATACCAATGAAAAAGTTATTCACTATAATGAACGTGGTAAAATATTAAACTATTCAGTTCATGCTCAATATTAGGAACTGAGTATTAGTAGCAAAATTACAGTTATGAAATAGAAATGAAATAAATTTATGGCTGGAGTTCCCAAGACCACTAGAAATGTGTGTTTTTCTAACGGTCATGACCCACAGGCTGAGAATCACTGCTCTAGTTCATTTTAGAGGAAAAAATTGGAATATAATCATGCGATGGCCTTAATGACCACTCCACTCGGCATCAGAAAACCGACATTAGAGAGGTCTTATGAATGTAGAAAAGTCTGTAGCTGGGCTTCATACTTCCCCAAATATAAAAATATTCATAATGAGGAAGAATGCAATCTGCATAAAAGAATCACAGTTCAGAACACACTCCTCACTGATGGTCAGAGAATCCAAAATGAAGGGTCGTTTTCCGAGGGTGGCGAACATAGAAAAACTTCTGGTAATGACTCTTCCTTTGTCGTACATCATAGAATCCATGCTAGAGGGAATCTGTGTGAATGCAGGGACTGTAGGAAGTCCTTTAGTCAGGTAAAGGATGTTATCCTGCACCAACAGATTCATACTAGAGAGAAGCACTATGAATGAAACGTGTGTGGTAAAGCCCATACTGAACCCCAGTCGAGTTGCATTGGAAAGAATAATTCCAACCTGAATCCACAGCATGAATGCTGTGATTGTGGGAAAACCTCCAGTCACAGTTCCTTCTTTATCGTCTATCGACTTGTTCACACAGGAGAGAAATCCTGCACGTGTAATGAGCGTAATGAGGTCTTCAGGCAGAGGCCACACCTCTACCAACATCAGAGAATTCAAACCTGATAGAATAGAAGCCCTTCTATTTGTAATGATGATATAAAGGTGTAAAAGCCGTTAGTGACCAGTAAGCCCCAATCCAACACCACAGGACTCACACTGGAGAAAAAAACCCTACACATGTAAAGAGCATGGTAAAACCTCCAGTCAGAGCCCAACTCACATTAAAGAAAAAAAAGATGAGAAAATCCACACTGGAGAGAAACTGGATTGTAAAGATTGTGGGAAGGCCTTCAGCTAAAGATCATCCTGTTCTCAACGTCAGCAAGTTCATACTGGACGGAAACTGTTCAAATGCCAGGAGTGCTGGCAAGCCTTCAGTAGAAGTGCCCATCTCACTGTGCACTGGAGCATCTACACTGGGGAGAAGTCTTCCCACTGTCATGAGTGTGGCAGAGTGTGCAGGTGTGGGTCAGCCCTAAGTAAGCATCACAGACTTCACACCACAGAGAATCACCCTAAATGTATAAACGAATGCACTCAGATTTTGTTTTGTTAAATACTAAAGATTCCTTTCCTAGGTGGTTGTAATTGAGATGCTCTTTTATTTTGGGGGTGGCCCCATTTTTTCCTGCAAAATATTAGCATCCAGGATGTCACACATCCAAATGAAAAAAACTGAACTCTGGGATAGTCAAATGAATCAGTAAGTGAGTATGTGTGTGTATAAGTGCATTTTTGCCTGTGCCTGAAAATGATTGATGTTACCATGCATAGATCCCCCCCAAAGCCTCAGGAATAAGATAAAGAATTGTACTTGTTCAGAATTGAGCTTGTTTCTTCTTTCGCTGATGGAGATTATGCTATATTCAACCAGAGTAGATGCTTATGGTTAATTATTTGTCCCAACACTACCTTCCTATAGATCTTCATCTGAATACACCACCATTCCCCACAGCACATCTCTTCCTGTGGTCAGATATGATAGCTTTACTTTGTTCCATTTTCAAAAAAGAGCAGAAAACCTCCATCCCCAATAATCCAAACATCAGGACCAATGGCACCACATGCCAAGAGAATTGGAAAGTTTATTGTTCATGCATGCAGAGGACTTTTAAGGAGAGTGAGGATATGTAAGCTGGCCCAGAATGCCAGGAACACAGAGTAGGTTTGGGTGTGTCTTGTTAGTGGCTGGAGTATGGGTAGGATGATCACACATCATGAATAGGCTTAAGGGTTTATGTTTCCTGTAGCATTTACTGATTATTTATCTGGGAGCTGCAAGGATTGACCCAAGAGCCTTGTACATGTAGGCAAGTATCACTGAGCTGCAGTTCCAGGCCTGGGTTTCCTTAAGAATCCAACTTTTGGTGGAAGAAGTGGGAAGAAAAAGATGGAGAAAAGGATGCTATTGATGGCCAGACTTCAAAAT